ATTACTTAGTTTAAACAACAGCACATTTCTTTTATTAAACAAAAACCAATAATAAGGACATTATTAATTCATAGAAATGACAGACAGAAACGATCAAATTATTTTATGTGTATACATTAATGACAAAGAGATTGTTATCGGAACTATATTAAAAGTTGGACAGTTTTGTTCGATAACGCTTTTTATTGGAATTGAAAGGTTTAGAACAAAAGTATGGATATTATAAGTACTCATTTGTGTCGGCTAGATCGCCGATACTTACTTGATAGTAGAACAGATCTTATCATAAAGTCTAGACCTTTATATCTCTACGTTATTAGTACGTAGGTTACCGAAATCACAAACCCTATAAAACTTTTTTACTGGCAGTCGCGTTTGTGACTGATAAGGCAAACAATCGTTTTTTATTTCGATAAAACATATTATAAGATTTTTAGAATTTATATTGCACATCAATAAAACTAACTAGATTATCTGTGCCGTTATTTAAATGTCGTTGTGACATTTCGACATATTTTTTTTATTTACCTCATTTGGGATTTGGCATTTTGGCCCGCGGCCCGCCCGTTTTTATTGGTTGCGTCGTGTGCGGAACATTAATTTTGTTGTTTGCTTGTGCCGCTAAAATGTATGCCCCCCGTCTTTTGTTAGTCGTGACGTCATTATTTTTCTGCAAATGGTTCTTTTTTTATTTTTGCCACAATGTCAGAGAGAACAATATAACTAGCACATGTTTTTGAATGAGATGAGAATACCTAAATTAAACAAGAAACTTTATGCAATAACAATCTCAGAAACAATGCAATTAGTTTTTGTATTTTAGATCCAAATTGATCTAAAACCTACACGTAAAGCGGCACAAACAAAACGATAAAATCTCTATAATTTCAGTAATAAAGTTCAATACAGTTTAAATACTCCCACTAAACAAAATATAACAATAATTACCCGTATCTAGAACGGAGTAGTTTTTGGAATCGTAACTAACAAATAGAAGGTTAAATTCAAAGTAGTTATTGTCACACGACACATGAAAGTACGTTAATCGAAGTACAATATATTATTTAACGTAATAACACAAGCGAAGCCACGTAACGTAAATAATTATATGGAACCGACTATGAATAGTTTATTACGAAGTGCATAGACTACATAGAGTCCAGACAGGACGAGACAGACGAAACGATAGCATATTTTTTGAGGGGAAAAAATTCAATGGCTTCTCCCGCCTTGGGTGCGGCGAGCGAGAGTGTCAGACTTTTACTGACTAAAAACCACCTCATTCCTACTCTTCTTTGAGCCGGAGCCTCGGTAGCTCTTTAGGTTGTCCGCAGCTGTACCGCAAAAAGGATGGTCTTGCTATTTATTTCTTGAACGCGTTGATAGAGATCCCTTGTTCAGCAGTCCGCTTATGATCATTCGATTAACAAGACAGTCTTGATTAATTCAGCAGCGATAAATGAATGTACGATTTTAATTGCATAGGCGTCGTAGGCGACAACGTAGGCGTGCGTAGCATCTACGGCGTAGCACATTCGTAGTCTGCTACAATGACATTAAAATGATTTACACACAGATAAATGCACATCTTTGAGACATGAGGGTAGAATACATAAACCTACACATTTTGCAATAATACCTACATCCATATTATGTATGTGTGTGTAGAAAAATACCATTGAGTACCACCTACATACGATTGTTACACATTTCTTTTGCATCTTCTATGTTTATGCGCTCACCGAGCATGCCACACCCAGCCTTTTTATAAAATTTTTCCCTATTAGAAATCTAGGATTATTTAGTTTTATTAATTTAAATATATATGGTTACTTAAAACTTAATTTATCGGCTAAGATAGGTACAAGACGGCATTTTAATATCTTAATTTTATTCAATACAATATGGTAGTTGTAAAAGTTTCTATAGTTTACATACAGTTGCGAGCGCGTTGGCTTTTAAATCAAACAACAATAATTACTGTGAGCTTTGTTCGTAATGTCACTATCTGCTTGCAAAGTGGACAGCGTTGCTCAAACTACTGCGAATTGACTATGCGTGTTACTCGTAATAAATAGTACTAGCCTTCCACCCGTGGCTATACCCGTGGTATAGATGTTATTACACATTCAACGCTTCCTCTTAATTCATTATATCTGTTAATACGGCATCAAAATCCCTTGCGTAGTTTTATAGAGCTGAGCTGAGTATACCTACATAGGCAATGGGTTTGACTGTTGTTCTTGCATATTACCAGCCGAGTGCAACTATATTTGTTCATCATATCAATTGGATATCTCAGTTGGAAAGGTTTATAGTTACCAGAGGGCACTGCTGCACGATATAATTTTTTGCCGGTCTCGTTGGCCGAGGGGTCGCCAGTGCGTCTGCCGGGCAAGGGATCTCGGATCCGATTCCCGGGTAGGGAAACTTGTGCTATGGTTTAAAAAAAATCTTAGTAGTAGCACGGAGTCTGGCATTGTGCCCGGTATATGGCAATAGTCTCACCTCCTATTACATGGGAATCAAAACATAAATAGTGAAAAGTGGGTGTTACATTGTACAGTGGTATTAAGTGGCGTAATGTGTAACGAGAAAAATGGGTGTTACATTGTACAGTGGTATTAAGTGTGTTTTAAGTTATTAAGTAATGTTCACCTCTGCCTACCCTTCGGGTATGTGTTATTTATTAAGCAATCTGTATAACTCATAAATACAGTACAATGCTATGTAAATATTTCTTTGGCCTATTCGTCAAAATCACTACCAAAATGCTGAAAGCGACGCTAAACCAACCCACAACTACCAGGCGCCCATAAAACGCAAGAGAACTAAATGCCGCTGTATGTTTGGTTTGGGTTGGTTAACACCACACACCAGGGCAGTAAGAAATAAATGAGTTACATTCTCCAATAACAACACCATTTAATAACACTGCAGCTGTAGCCAAATGCCATTTAGCGCTTGTCTACATGTAGAATAAAATAGCAAATTATGTATATGGAACTAGCAAACCCCGGCGAACTCCGTTTCACCACCAGATGGCTTCATTTTATGTAATATTTCGTTTGGTGATTAAAAGATGAAGAACATTTTTTTAAATTTTATATTTTATAAACCTCACGGAACCCGAGACCTTTCCAACGAATGTGAAACCGTGGAAATCGGTTCGTGCGATCTGGAGTTATAGCGTCAGGAAGGAATACTCGACTTATTTTTATATAGTAGATTGACGTAAATTTTGACACTTGTTCGTGTCATTCACATACATTTAGTTTTCTACTCTCTCTGTAGATAAGCGCTAAAGTCGCGTTTGGCTAAAGGCATTGTTTACATTACATTAGGTTAAAAGAAAAAAAGGGTTAAGTTTGACAAACAAATAAAAATCGCAGTAGAGGTAATGTCACATAACGGTTGTTATTAGTTAAGTGATAGTCACGAAGGGTTGGAGTGGTGTCGTGTCCCATCTGATAGATACCCTCTCGTGACGGTAATCGAAATGCCCGGCTTCCATCACGAACCGTTCTAATACCGACCATTATAGCCACTGAACTATACGTAGGTACTTAATTAAAGTCTTTCATGAAATTACTGATAGGAACTAGGATTTTTATTGCAATATTGAAGTTTATACCTTGTTTGTTGATTAGTATAGAATGTAGCTATCGAGCATTGACCTATGGGTTCGATCTTTTTTGGGAGGGGAAAATCATTCAATCGTATTCCTTTTTAAAAGGCCGGCAACGCACCTGTGACTCCTCTGGTGTTGCGGGTGTCCATGGGCAGCGCTGATCGCTTACCATCAGGTGATCCGTTTGCTTGTTTGCCTCCTATTCCATAAAAAAAATCACTGAAAACCAACATGAAACAATACTTGCGTTGTATTTCGTCATATAAGTGACCTCACTTAAGTGAGCCCCCGGGAACCTTCCCGGGGGCCCATTTACCCCCTCCCCAATCTCCAAATCCCCAACAACCCTTAAATTCCTAATCCCCAAAACGCCAGTAATGCACTTGTAACACACTTGTAACACCTCTGGTGTTTGGGGTGTCCATGAGCGGCCTCGATTGCTTATCATCAGCTGATCCGTCTGCCAGTTTTACCGGCTTATTCCATAAAAAAGATTTCTCCACCCTTGAGTGAGGCGAGAAGGAATCTCAAACTCTTACAGACTAAAAACCACCCCGTTCCTATCACTGTTTGGAACTGGAGCCCCGATAACCCGCTAGGTCGCCCGCAGTTGAAATATTGAGACTTTCATTTTTTTTATTATTTCATTAGGAACTTTTGTACATAAATACACGACAGTTCCATTTTACCTTATATCTTACATGTTAAACTTACAAGTTATACAAACAAAATACTCTTAATATCTATTTAACAAAACGTAGACCTGCAAAGCTATACTACTTTTTGGCCGCATCAGATAAAGGTGCAGTTAAAATTTCATTAAATAATCCTATATTGTTTTTAATTAAACATAATGTCACTTTATTTTGTATTTGTAATCTATGACTGTGTTATTATTAAATGTATTTGGAATTATACCGTGTATTTCGTTATTAGGGATCCGATTTTATAAAATTGTAAATTATATTTGGTTAATTATGCAACTAGATTGAACAACTATGATATCTAAATGAAATAACTCAATGGAGCCTATCTTATTTTTGGACACCACATAGCGCTAGTGAACCTTTAGTCATTCGTCCAATAGGAAATTAGCTAGAGTCACTCCATGGAAAGTTCAATATTTGACAGCTGCTGTGATTGGAAAAAATAATATCTTGCTACATTTGCGCCATCTGGTGACTATAAATACGGTAGCCCCCATTCGTTCACTGCTGAACATAAGCTTTCGTCAATGTCTTCCAGACTAGGTGGTAGGAAGCAGCTTACATCTAATGACTCCTTGCGACTTTTGACAAGTCGTCTGTCCACTTTGAGGGTCCTAAGTGTAAATCGCATAAAATACAAAAACTATTTTTTGTCTCTACAGGTATGCACTTGGCCATGCAACAGCGCACCAACTTCTCGCCCTGATGAGAATTGCTGGAGTGGTCTAGTGCCCAAAGTGGAGAGGGATGAGGAAGCAAGGGTCGAACCCTGGAGGCTGCCTGACTTGCGACCCTCACTGCATTATATGCACGACAGAGGTAAGTGTAAGTTATCAGTCCTTTTGTAAATATTTATTTGTTTCTTCTGGTCCTTTCCTAACTATGTTGATTTTACCTAGGTTGAATATTGGTTTTTTTAATAAAACGTTGTTTCGCCCCACACTAGGATTTCCTCCTGTGTCGTGGGTGCGTTTACAAAATAGTCAAATTATCGTGTGGTTTCCGAAAACGGGACAGTTTTGCATTTCGGGGACAACGGGACTCGTAATTATAAACAGATATAGTCCCATTCAAAACTAAATGTCTGGTCACATTACGGATAACTCTAAATCTAATATCTATCTAGGTACCTATTTGAATATCACAATGCAGATTGTTACAAAACTAAGCACTTGTATCAACACAAACCAAAATGCTATTCAAACAAACAAACAAACTACCTTATGACCTAAATCTTTCCCGGAAATAGCTTTCCTCCATAAATGTACTAATCCAACACAAAAATAATTATTCAAATCGGACAACAGTTTCGTAGATTAGCGCGTTTAAACAAACAAACAAAAAACTATATACAATAAAAAAAGTATAAAGTAAGATAACAGTAGGTATACGTTTTGTGCAGGAGAAATAAATTGCATTTATTATTATTATTAAAAAATGATGGTAGTTACTCCCGCGCGTTTTCACTTGCTTTTCTTGGCTCCTGTTGACCTTATTGGTCGATTAGTAATAAAGTATACATTACGATTGATACCTACCTAAGTACGTTCACCATAGTACCTATATCTCTTTTTTTCTGATAACTCTTATTTTTCTTTTCAGATCGAGACTGCGTGGCGTGTGTAGCGCCCCTACCTCTGTTGCCTCCGCCCGCGCCCGCGCCTCATTAGCTAACAAAATGATATTCCAGTGTAAAAATACATATCCGTAGTAATGTCTTACTTTATATATTTAACATTACATAAGTATTTAGCAACTGCTATTCTGAGCTGTGTCTCAATTTGCCAAAAAGACTAGTCATTCTATTATTCTATAGAACCCATAGATCCCCAAGCGATCACCGGTGACCGCTCTCCACTACCTACATTATAGACCTTATTTCCAATGATTAGAGACTACTTTTGTATGAACACATTTAGGGATGAATTTCAGTTCTCAATTAATTATTACCTATATGTACATTTATTACCGACATCTTCGGTATCTGTTTCTTTATTCAATTTTACCTCAGAATATTTTTATTCGAATCGGGACCGGTTAATACCGGATTGCACTTTTAATTCCTGCATTGTACCTTCTTACATATGGTAAATGTATTTAAAAACAGCTGAACAGGAGACTTAAATGATTGTAATTTATATAAAAAATATTGTAGTAAAATTTTGCTTCAAATGACTTATTATATTATATATTGCAACTGAACAACACAATATTTTGACGTAATTAGTTTAAAATCATATAAAATAAATCGTAGTGTAACATAAAAAAGCAATTGTAATGAATTTAATTCATTAATTGATTATAGATCTTAACATATAAGAATGTACCTAATCTAGTGTAGTCTAGTCAATAATTCTAGTCCTATTTACTAATATGTATTGTATTGTATAAAATAACTTAGACATTGCACTCCTAGCAAGTAATTTCCTAGCAGTACCCGGCAATAAATATTGCACATGGAACTTTGTAATGAGACAATCGTTCAAGCCAAGTCATGATTACAAGCCGCTAAAACTAGTTAAACACTTTCATTGAATCAAAAAAAGATAAAAAAAGTAGAACTAAATTATTGTCAATGTGCAATATTTATTTTCGAGTATTGTACTCGATTTTTCTGTACATAGCCTATTGTAATATTTAGCAAAGAAATTAACTATTTGTAGGTAATATGAGAATACCTTATTCTATATTAATTTCCATATTGCACTGTATTTTGAAGTCTTTTAAATGCTTAACGGAATTCCAATTTCGCTCAAAATCAGGGTGATTTCCAAATATGTTTTCAGTTTATTTTTACTTTCAGCGATTATAAGTCAGTCAGGCAGACATTTTAATGTATCTAGTATCTGTATGAAATGTACGTATGTAGTTCTAAATAAATTAAATTAGCAGCACAAAAATATAGCGAATAATAAATTCTGCAAAACTGTTATTTTATTTACTTATCCATCAAACATTATCCCTATTCCCTGATATCTAGGTAAATGTAAACATTTTATAAAAATTAAAAGTGGGTAGGTACATACTTACCTAAGGTAACCTATTACGTATAACTATATCTTAAGTTTTTAAAAGTTATTAAAGCTATTACAAATATTTTTAATAGATATAAAGAAATTATGAAAAATAATTCAACTAACAAATAACTCAATAGGTACGGGTGACAAGTGATAATCTTGTGTTCAATAAAGACGAATGCTAGCGACATCTATATTACATAACTGACAACTGAGGTCGTTAAACAGTCAGGACTGTAGTTCACTGATATGATAAAGGTATATTATATTATTACATCTATAATGTAGTTAGGCATTTTTAAAAAACGACATGTAAATATGTACAGTTTTTGATAACATTGCAATATGTAGGGTATCTGATATTCTAATAAACAAATTACGTATGTTGTTGTTTCAGCTCCGGTCCGCCGGTGGCCTGTGTTGCTCTATGTTTCAGAAGGCGCTAAAATTCGTAGAAAAACATTTCGCATGTTATTTACAAAAACTAGCAAAAGTGGTTATAAATTGATGTTTTTTTTAATCTTTTCTTGCATAATTTTTATATGTCATAGACAATACGTCATCCACAAACTAAACGTCTGGTCCTATAACTGGCAACATTTTATCTCAAGTTGTCAATGTCAAAACGCTTGTTGTCAAAACTTCTTGTCTATTCCTTTTCCTGTTAAATTTTCTCCTGAGAGGTTGGTTTCGTGTTTGTTAAAATCTAAATTAATCACGATAACTATTGAGTTTTGAATTAAATCCTATTATGGTGTATTTATGGACAGTGTATTCTAATTGTTCATGTGTATATTTTATAAAATATGTGAAAATCCGGAATGTTATAAAATGATAACCTATGTTCGTAAGCGTTTGAGACATAAGCCGCTCTGTGTTTCAGAAACTAAAAATGGGTCGTTACTCTCGGGAGCCTGATAACCCAGCGAAGTCATGCAAGGCGCGTGGCTCAAACCTCCGTGTTCACTTCAAGGTAAATCCGTAAATGTATTTGTATACATGTTATTGATTCCACATGGACTGACACTCCTTCACGTTTTTGTACTATCTACTTATAAGTAAACGATAATCTATAAATTAGAAAGTCTTAAATTCACCGACTGCAGTGCTAGATATAGTCAAACTAGATTAATAGTGGAAATGTACATGTTTTCAGGTTAGTTTGGCACAAAGAAACAAACTGCTTTAGTTTGAAGTTATTAAACGAAATTTTTACTTGTTGGTGTCTAATTTTCAATTTAAAAGGACCTAAAACTAATATCTGTGACATTTCATTTAGTGACTATCCTTAGGAGCTGAGTGATATAACTTGATTTGATATCAACTGCAATGGCACAACATTGTAAAACAAAATCCCTTTGAGATACACATTCAAATTTAACTTAACCTATTATCACTTTACAAACTTCACCCAACTCAAACAAACTAACCTTTAAATTATAACTTTCAGAACACATATGAGACAGCAATGGCGATCAGGAAACTGCCCCTGCGCCGTGCTGTACGTTACCTGAAGAATGTTACAGAGAAGAAGGAATGCATTCCATTCCGCCGCTTCAACGGTGGTGTAGGTCGTTGTGCACAAGCCAAGCAGTTCGGCACCACACAGGGTCGTTGGCCCAAGAAGTCCGCGGAGTTCTTACTCCAGCTGTTGAGGAATGCTGAGTCCAATGCTGACTACAAAGGCTTGGATGTTGACAGGCTTGTCATTGATCACATTCAGGTGAGCTTTCATGTTTTTTGATGTAGTTATAAGTACAAACTTAAAGGCAACATCATAGTCGGCCTGTATTTGAGAAAACCTCTCAATGGTATCTTCTCACATGGAGAGGGAATGCATTGTAACCTAACCTATATTGTGTGTTAGTATGGAACAATAACTACCTCGATAGATAGAATTTTTTATGATTCTTGTTAAATAGTGAAGTTTTGTTATTGGTTGTTAGTCAATTGAATCTTCAGTAAATATGGATATCTAGTTATGGTCAATGTGTTTTAAAATAACCGGTTTGCTATGTATAATTCTAATGAATTACATTATCTGTAGGCAGAAACTATTTATTTTATAACGTTGTGCTGTTTGAAAGTATTAGGTAATATGAATATTATATTTTTTGGCTATTAAGTGTATAATTTTTATATCAGATTGGTTATTAGTTAATTTCTTCATTTTGTTAGGTTTAGTAGCAATTAGTAACTGTGTGTTAATTTAGGATAATTCGATATATCTTGAATATGAAATGTGTTTGAGTCATATGCGCAATATTAATACTCAGAATAAGTTCAATTCCATCCTATTAAAACATGTAGCATTTTGGTTAAAATTTTTCTGTACAGGAATGGGCTTATTGCATATTACACGGGATCAGTAGAGTTTAAAGTAATATTAAACATTTATTTTCCACAGTATCACTTACTTATTACCATTGTTGCACATATTATAGACCTCTTATTCAAGCTTTAGTAATTTTACTCTAGTGCCTAGCCAAACACCACTTTAGCGCTTGTCTACAAAGAGAGTAGAAAACTAAATGTATGGGAATGACACTGACAAGTGTCAAAATTGACGTCAATCCCATATAATTTGATTTTCTATTCTACATGTAGATAAGCGCTAAAAGGCATTTGGCTACAGCTACAGGCATGGAAATGTCAATAATAAGCTTGATTATATATATATTTTAATGCGGTTTTCATTTACACTTTGATTACCTAGTCTGTTTTCAAAGACTGTGGATTACATAATTTCATTTCTTTCTTTTTTTATTGGTGGTACAATAAAGGACATCAATGCATTGTGTTCTTCGCAGACAAAATATACTTTTTGAGATCTATGAATATTTTTGTTCTGTGTGATGTGTACTTGAAATTTTTATATCCGAAAGTCCAACATAATAAATATCGGAATCTCAAGTGAGATACAGCTACTCTGCAACACGGAATTGACCTAGAGACCCTTTTCCATTGCAGTTGGATACTGATTACCCTTTGTTCAAGAGAAAAGGTTAAGGAAGACTAATATTTAACTAAAAAATATGGTTTTAGTTTGTACCGAAATCAATTAATTCACTGAATAAGATTATTCTGTTTGTATTCTCATTGTTTTCAATGTCAATGGTTGTATTATGAGAAATAACATTAGTCCGATGCCATCATATATCATCAGATATTTTCAAAAATGTTAAATTGTTTGTTAGTTCGAAATATTGCCTTTTTGCTTGTCAGTGTTACTATTTCATCGTCATCACTGTTTTCGAAAGGCATACATTAATAATGGTTAACATAAAGGAAGTTTTCTTATGGAACTTTCTTTTCTCGACTATTAACATTTATAAATTAAAATAGTATCATATTTGTTTTATTCTTTGTGTTGTAAATGTGAAGAAGTAGATGATAAAGAATTACCATCTACTTCTTCATCTCAGAAGGATAGTATTGGACTAGTTCTTGATACAGAAAATGTATCTTATTTTAGAAATTGTTTTCTCTGTAATAAATGGCAACAAAGTCTCGATTTGACTCGGAAGTTTGTCAAAAGGCTCTCCGTATAACACAATTTGTTTAATTAATAGTGAAAATTTCTGTTGCATTATGCATTTCAGTTCATCTTACAGCGAAATAAGCGTAATTTTAATGTTGTGTGGTGCAATACTAACGATATATTTTTTTCCACAGGTTAACCGCGCTCCCTGCCTACGCAGACGCACATACCGCGCTCACGGTCGTATCAACCCCTACATGTCATCGCCCTGCCACATCGAGGTCTGCCTGAGCGAGCGTGAGGACGCCGTCGCACGCGCAGCGCCCGCTGACGACGCCCCCGCTAAGAAGAAGCTGTCCAAAAAGAAGCTTGCTCGCCAGAAGGAAAAGATGATGAGGGAATAGACATTTAAGGGTTAATAAATGATTTTACCATCTATTTTTTTGTTTTCTTTTGTAGAGTGACGTCCTTATTGTAACTACTCTTCACGCGGAAGAGTCACGTTTCGCCACAATGGCCCGCTCGACCGAAATGAGCCTTGTTCTCGTTAGAAAACGTTACCGAGTGAGGTTCATCAACAGCCTGTAAAAGCCCACTGCTGAGCAAAGCCTCTTCTCACACGGAGAAGGTTCGAGCATTAGTCACCACGCTTGCTCAATGCGGGTTGGCGATTACAGACTTATAATTATTAGAAATTATAAGCCAGGTTTCCTCACGATGTTTTCCTTCACCGTTTGTCAGTGGTGTTAGATAATCTTAGAAAGTACATATAACTCGGAAAAAGTCACATTGGTACTTGCCGTTATAGGTTTCGAACCCGCACTCATGCATGAGAAGCGGGCGTCTTAAACCTCCGGGCCACCACAACACTATCCTGTACGTACACTGTACTCTACCGAGTGAGGTTGGGTATTTGGTTATTCATCCTCCACCATGAAGGCCGGGAACAGCTTTCTCTTGTGGCGAGATGAACTCACGCAGGCGGCGTCATCTATTGGTCACCACCGCCAGGTGATCCATCTGTTCGTTTGCCTCTATCCCATAAAAAGGACATAAATGGGAGAACAACTTTACATTCTATCTGTATTTTTAGTTCTAAAAAGACTTAGTACATATTTCATATTTTAATACTTATTTGTACTAAATACATCGACAGACACGAGATTTAAATAACATTTTATCAAAGTACAACCGAGGAAATGTTCTCTTCTTGCGTGGTTAAGAATTTGATTTGACGTCTCAAACTATTTATTTCAATACACACTTCGTTGAGACAGTTCTCCAAAAAATAATTTGCTTCTGCCAACTTCTCAGCGTGCCTCGATGCTTCAATTCTTTTATTTTTGGCCCGAATTATGAGCTTATTAAGTGCCTTATTCTCTTCTTGTAGGAGATCAGTCTTGAGTCTACAATTCTGTGCATTGCTTTTGCTTATATTTTTGTACCTTAATGTAATCACGAAGTTCACAAGCTTTTATCTTGGCGTCGTGTATTTCAGTCCTTAGATATACATTTTTTTCTTTTAGTTCAATGGCTCTAGACATCTCCTGGTGTTGCTTATCCGTTGCCTCGAGCAGCCTGTCTCGAAGTCTGAGGTTCTCGTTAATAGTCCTGTTTATAATGCCATATTCCCAAGAATAACTTTTATCGAAATTATTTGATTTCTGTAGTTTCATATTCCAAAGGCACTTTTACTTAAAATTTTGCTTTTTGTTATAATCTAAAATATTAAAGATGTTTTTATCTTTTCGACATATCTGATCCACAGATTAAATATAAGTTTGCTGGAGGTCGAGTATCGTTATGTAACATTGTGAAGTAAGAAGCTTTGCATTCCTTAATACTCCTTTTTAGATATATTATCTTACAAGCATACCAAAAGATATGCCTTTAAGCTTAGCTCATATTGTCTTCTCCTGCGTGACCTGAAGTAACCGTTCATGGGTAGGGTTCGAAATAAGCATCTGTTAGTAATTCCTTAATTAACTTTACTTTGATGACAAGGGTCGTAGATCGTGGTTGTTTTAACACCAAGCACCAACTTCTTTACCAGATGGGAGGAATGAGCAACGTCAGAGAAATTACAAATTTGTTACCAACCTAACCTAATTTAAAAAAAAACGCTTCTTAGAGTTGATATTCTAAACTCCTGTAGATGTTTTATTTTAGGGAAGGTAACCCAATGACCTCAAGAAAGACGACGGTACGGGACCACGCGTTTTTCATGTGCCGTGTGACCATTGGGTGTATTACACAGAGTCCCCTCTCTCTCAAGGAAAACGGCTCTTTAAAAGGCCAGCAACGCACCTGTGACTCCTCTGGTGTTGCGAATGGTGGCCACCAGGGAGGTTTTAGTGAGGTAAATATCCCACACCCCCAAACTTTCTAGTCTCTTTCCCAAAAATCCTAGACTCCCTTTGAAGGTTTCTCACCGTCAATAAAAAAAAATTAAACTAATACCTAGCTATCTATTGTCTAAAATCAGTCTGCCTTTATAAACTCGCTAACAGCCCTACGGGACACTACGGGTCAGCATCAATTGTGTGTAGAGACAATTAAACTTGAACGTGGACGTGGAGAGTAGTTGCCAGTATGCGGCATCAGTCGTTATTGACGCACCACGCATGGCGTACGCGCGCACAGCTCTGTTCTACGCGTGCGCGTTGGCCGCGAACGCCGCGGCTTACGCTGCACCAGCCCTGCCCGCCAAGTCTGACAATAATAACAAAGGTAACTATTTATTTTTATAATTACATTCACTTATTTAAATAAACGTCGGTGATTGTATTTTTGTACCCCATCGCTTTAAACTGCCATGTGTGGAAACTATGGCCAACCTCTCTTGGTAGAGTAGCTCCATAGTCCTGGCAGTAGACTCCGACTAGATAAAATTATTTAGCTTTATCAACCGACTTCAAAAAAAAGCATTCTCATATCATTGAAGTCGTCGCTCATTTGTCGAAGATAGTCATATCAAAGGATCAGTAACGTTAAATCTTATTTAATGTTCAGACGGTAGTACACCTAACAGCACTGTTTTACAGCTCTTGCGAAAATGGAAAAGCTGGGGATCCGACAAGACCGGAGAAATGTACCTCCCTGGCTGAACTAGTTGCAACTTTGTTTTCTTCTTTCTCCATAACTTATATGGAGCGAGACGACTAAAGTCAACATTCTTACTTTACATCTGAAGAGCCGTTAGTGTAGTAGTAGTCATTTTTTACTCAGTTTTGTCCCTACTACAGTCCCTACTGTACTACAGTCCCTACTACAGTCCTCCCTACTAAAAACCAACAAACCGAGAGATTTATCAGACAAAATAAGATGGAGTAGTGGAGCATTCATGTAAACTACGACTTGTACCTAATTGTACATTGTGCAAGTGTCAGCCTGGATGACATGGAAAGATGACACAAATTAAAGAGCTGGCGGAACGAAATGGAATGCTAAATGCTATCAGCCTAAAATGAGATAAAATGGAAAGGACTGCAGGAGGTCCATATTTTGTTGACGAATATTTGCTGTGATGATAAGATATTAAGTAAAGTGCCTATTTGAACGCAACCGATAAATCAAAGATCAAAGTCAATTCTCAGCGGTCTGGAGCTGCGGACGGCCTAACGGGTTACCGGAGCTCCGGCTCAAAGCAGGAGTAGCAACAGGGTGATTATAGCCAGCAAGATTCTGACTCTCTCTTGCCTCACCCAAGACGGGAAAAGTCAATGGATGATTTACCTTCCTCAAAAAAAAAGTCGCATTCGATGCACGCTAAGTACCCAAACAGTGACAAGCGGAATTATAAGACAATAAATTGATGGAACTACTTTAAGTCATGACAAGACAGTTTCTGTTTAACTTAATATTTCCGTATTCCTTGAATGGACGAACCATTACAATGATATTTTTCAAAACTTTGTCATCCATGTGTCCAGTTTATAATAGGGTCGTCAAATGGGGTCAAAGTAACACCCATTGTCTCAGATCAATCCCCCCTCGCTCTACACTTGACTTTGTTTCAGGTATCATATGAATAAGTCCCTAAAGAGGCACTTCACACACTTCAGATAAATTATCCGAGCAATGGCTCCTTAAAAGTTTGAATTTCAATGACCTCAACACATTTTGTAAGTCGATTATATCACTGGCGATTGGATTTGTACTAATCACGATAATATTTTCACTCTAAAGTTAATTAAATTGCGTTATACTTTTATCTGTTCAGACCTAAATGTTGGAATTACCTATTTAAAATGTTTTCTATTTAAAAATGTGTGTACATTTCCTATTTTCGAATCGTTCAAATCGTAGCACAATAAACCCCTTCTGTAACCGCTATAGGCACCTACTACGTAGGTACTGGCGTACGAACAACACAATGCGATCAATCAAACGTGTGATCAAAACGCACTACAAGTACTCAAGACGCACCAATCGTAGTTCTATTTAGATCGTTGACACCAAAACCGTAACTAAGTGAACTCACGCGCATGTCAACGATCCATGCGATGCGGCGGCTCCTTTGACGGCCTGACCCATATTAGTGGTGCACTTACCAACAGCCGGACGTGGGTAAACGCTTGTAAATCGTTCAAGTGTATTACGACCTATTTACAATTGTTTCTTAGGGTCTACTGCATCGGATTGTAGGTACTTATCCATTTAGTGCAATTGAAAAACGATTTTCTAAGAACATTGAGTTGAAAAGCGTTTAACTGGGACTAGAAATAACTTAGAAAGAGAAATAGCGTTATCAGGAAGAAATGTGGATTGAAAAGTGGTTAATTGACAAGGGAATGCATGGAGAGAACCCGAAGATAATGTTTGAGCCTCCTACATCATGCCATGCGTTGATAGGACTACTCTTAACCGCGAGTGTCGAATAAGCCGACTAAAGGGCTGCACATTTGACAGAGCCCGGGCAGCAGCGCTCTCTGATAAAATCGAAACCTTTTGAACAGCGATCTTCAGAATGGAGATTATAGCAGACCCTTCATAAGTAAAAGAGTTCCATGATTCGCCCGTGGACTGCCATCGTTTATTGATGAATCTCTGGTGGTACTATATCAGTTTGAAAAATTAAATTTTCGTTTCCCTTTTCTTGATGGAGGAGGCAAAACGACATTTAGAAACACGTTCGAAATGAAGAGGAAGTGCTAACTACTTATTTGTTAACATTTGAACTATCCAGAAGGTGGTCCCGACAATATGATGGTCCCATTACCATATCGTATGTGTATACAGGTCACTGTCATGACACACTGCGCGAAATTCGTCCTGTCCAGGCCCACTTATGATGTTCCATTTCCTTAATGTCCATCGCAAATTGTGCGTAGGCCACAAACGCTCCGGTCATAACATTTCACGAACTATTTCTGGTTTGAATGGCTTCAAATGATGTTCTTTTCGTCTAAATTTTGTGGTTACATCAGACATCATCGAGTTTCAAATTGGGCTAATTTACTTAGACCTCGTATATCTGTCGTATATCTTTGTCTGTTTTGGATTTGAAAAGAATAGTAGAGTATAAGTAACTATACAAAAATGTTATATGACCTACATGTTCTTTTGTCCCATTTCGGATTTACCCACTTTATTAGAGGTAGAATTCAGCTCTTACCATTATCGTGTCAATTCTTTATCATCTAAAAGTTGATTGGCAGAGAATTCCTCTGTACATCAGTGACAGTACGTAGATATAAATATATTATTCCATTCCATTCACCAGTGAGTAAGATAAATTGGCCCGATCCCTTCACACACACAACAGCTACACAAAAATGATGTATGAACCTCTGTGACATTTTCAAAGAATGCAAATTGTATCAGCTGTTTACAATCTGCAGTGTACTGCGGAAATATTTTATAGTCCGTAAATAACTGAAGTAATTTACACCCACAGTCATAAAGGTTCCTACTATGTCTCGTGTAGAATCACGTTTCCAACCATCTGGTCATCTTATGACGTTTATCGTTCTGCTCATTGTGCCCTCATCTGTCCCTGGGGACATAATAAGATCTTTGTTGAGCTCCTTAAACTTATATGGAGGGCTACCAATGTATGTTTCAAGTACTTCTTTGGTAGATCTTCTTCGACAAAAACTAGTCAAATCTAATAATACACTAGCTACAACGTACGTTAGCATTTTGGGCTACAAGACCAGGAACGTTTTTTCCAGGTGTCCAGTTTTTAGTAGCAATTGTTTCATGTCAGATCACGAGTTTCTCGTCAACTGCAAGCTGGGGAAGTGTTTTATAGTCGTCTATCAATTATAGGTACTCGGGACCTCACGTTGGCTACCATCTGCTTCACAACTACTAGTCACATAACCCGTAACCCATCACGTGTGATGTCTCATGCTCATTGTTTACATTTGAACTATCCAGTTTTAGAAATCAGGAAACAACGAATCTAGACTTTGTATCCCTTTTATTAAAGTTGATACTTTAGACATTTTATCTTCTTTCTAACTTGACATGCGCCTATGAGTGTATGCCAAACACAGGTCATTTGAAAATTTCGCGATTTGAAGCTTTGTCTTAATAGTTCCATAAGACGACCCTTTTGTTTTCAGTTTTATTTTCGAAGTAAATAAAGGACTGTAAACTAACATCAATTATGTTCAATATCCATAAATCTGTGGCGCATGCACATCGGCTTAAGTGATAAAATGGTGGTTCCTAACACATACGACCGGGAAGTAGCGGCGGTCGGTACATCTAGACCAATTGTCAACATTGGATTATGAAGTCAGTGGGACTCATTGTACGGAATTCTGCTCTTAAGTGAACTGACGTATGTACTTAAAATTGGACGTTAAATTTGACTTATAAGGATCCGAATAATTATGATATGAACGAGTTTTCTTATTTTTTATATATAATGCCTACTCACGAGTTGGATCATGCCTTTGATTTTCTCCTGCTTCCAAAAGTTTAAACTTTACTTCTATTTTTACAAGACCGAAATTCGAAATGAATCTAAATATTCTCCAGTTTTAGCAAGATGTACAATGAGTTAGAATCAAAATTTTCTCTTACTGAAATCAGTAAGTACTTACTAAACTAACATCGCGTTTAATAGAAAATTACGGGACAGAGTAAGTGCATTGTGCTATAGAACGTACATACCCAAATATGTAGTTATAACGAGGAAGCAAAGGGATTTCTGGGACATACATCAAATAACATCCAGGAAGATTCTATCTAATATTTTAATAATGTAGTAATTCGTATGGCATTGAATTCCCTGTCTTCCTAGTTTCTCACCAGGAACCTGTCTGCTACCATTATTGTCCCTCGGTTCCGTGTTTCGACTTAGTATTTATGAGTAGTTGGACCCGGCAGATATGATTCTGAATGGTATCATCGGATCATGATATTACTTCCTACAAGTATTGAAGTAGTGAAAAGTAAACGTCAATTAATTGATTGTATTTACGTAAACGTTTGATGCGATAGATGTGAGAAAACGGTATGAAGAGATCTTGTTTTAAAGAATACTGAACCGTTGTACCTTTTTATGACTTTTTTACCAACATAATTAGGAAGTAAACAGTCGTGATTTTGGGTGCATAAACATTACATATTTATGTAAGCCGACCGAGGCGTTTCTATAAATATGGGTTAACCCTTAGAAAATTATCTGTCCCGTATCTAGCATCCACTAAGTGGTAGTTGGCAAAAGCTGTGTAAGCTTACACAACTTTTCAAACTGGTGGACGTAGTAACTGGTTTGGGTGTGACGTGAATGTGAATTTGTATGGATGTTAAAAAGGGAAGAAAAGAAACTAGAACGCCTGATTTTAGTGTCAAAAAATTCAGATTTAATTTCCAGAAATTTAGCATTACCACGTTTCAGGGCCATGGTAACTTTCTGGCTGAAGAAGTAGGGCTATTTCATTTGATTGTAAAAGTAAATAATGTTTCTATTGTGCAATTTGTTACAGGAGTGAAGAAAGTACAAGTGGACACTATCGTGGTGCGCAGAATGCACAACGCATATTTTTACCCGTACAATCTGTGGCCTTTACCCAAATATAACGCTAGAGGTGAGGATCTTCAAGTTAATTACTTGTAAAGCGATTTGGCTGATTTCGTCAAACACTTCTAAACCATTTTTTTATGGGATAAGCTGGTAAACGAGCAGACGGATCACCAAGGTAAGCATCATGGTAAGCAATCGGCATCGTCCATGTGCACCTGGAACGCCAGAGGCGTTACAAGTGCGTTGCCGGCATGTTGGGGAAAGGGAGGGGGTAATTGGGCCTCACACGACAAAACACAACGCAAGCGACGACGTTGTTTCACGGCAGTTTTTTGTGAGACCGTGGTGTCACGCCAGTCGAGCTGGCTCATTTAATTAAGAGTTACTTACCGTTAGCTGTCTTTTCGTGTCCGTTAGCACTTATATAAAAATATTGTTAAATGTTACTTATCTTAGTTTAAGAGTTCCTTAAAATGTAGTACCTAAAGGTCGGTGAATACGAGCTTTTGTCATTTGTCTGGCTGTAAGTGCTGCTACAGGGTCGGTTTTTACTCCTGAGCGAAATATTGTCATTGTTTTCCAAATTCTTAATGATACACCTCTGTGAAACTATTACGTTAGAAAGCATTTAATAAAATCGTTTTCTTTTTTCCACAGATAATGAAGAATTTCAGGAATATCCACACATCAGAATCAGTAATTCCAATAAAAAAAGAAATGAAAGATAGCCAAAATAATTAGATACGCTTTAGTTTTCGATATCTACAAACCGTCTCCGATATCTACCTATTGTATAATATTCATTATAACCTTTCTCAGGAATCAGACTATTCGTGTAATTGTAGACCGTCAAAATTCGTCCAGTTGTTTCGGAGTTTACCCCGTGTATAGATAAACAGACAGACAGACGCGAAAGGACTTTCTTATGTAAGGATTATTTTGTTATTTGCAAAAATAATAGTTAATAAGACTCCGCCGTAGATACGTAATAGATGTAAATAGTATAAGTAGAGATAATTTAGAAACATTTGTAATGCTATTTGTTATAAATAGCAGTTTATAGAAATGTTGTTAAGACTATAAGTTGTGATGGTAATTCTATTTTATTATTATTAAACTGTCAAACACCAAGCGGTCACCGGTGACCGCGACCTATTGTTCTTTAATTGTGTCTATAAAACCGGTACTCGACGAGTTAATAAATTATTATTATGAAATTATTCTTGTTTTTAATTTTATTGTTATTCTTGTAAATGAACACCCTGTTGTCCGCAATTCGGAATGTGGTATTCCGAATAAAAGTTTTGGGGTTCGAAGCCCTGAACAGAAACACGTTGCGATTAACAATTTTCAGAATATTCTATAATTTTGTATTATGACCATCAGATCTTCTATATCTACCGGCTTACTACTACAGACTATGAATTTTACATACTTATCAACCAAACAGTCGTTCAAAATGAAGATGAGAGACCTCTATGAAATACAACTTAAAACTACTCTCTCAAGGACGTTTAAAAAGTTTCTCGCATGTACGAAATGAAAACTACTAACGCCATCTATGAATGTCGACCCGAAACACAATTTGCAAACTTGTGTCTTTTCTGTATCATAAGGGCGTAAGTCTGCTATTGATTACGCATGCGCACTGCAAACTCATCTTATTGAGCATCTCGCGAATTGTAAACATGTTCCTTTAAAAATATACGAATAATAGTATTTTTACAATAGAAACATGAAGTTGGGATTTGTGTTCATATTCTTAATTTATTTTAGATATAGTGCTGGTAAGTACTCATTTTATTATTACTTATATTTGTAAGAATAAGCTTAAATGATTGGGTCTGGGACTCGTGCGTGTCGTGTCTAAAGTCTAAAGTCTATAGAGATAAAAATTAAGTCGGTTAAAATACTTCTCGTAGGTACGTAAAGATTTACCTACCTATGTATATTTTTTTTATGTAGGTAGATATATTCTAACTTGTATCGATTTAAATAAATAAATATTACAGTTACTTGCAACTTGGAAGACACTCTTTTTCAAACAATTTTTAATTATATTCCCTACTTATCTACAAAAATCAAACCAAACACAAAAAACGGCCACTAATTGCATTTGAATGTAATTTTTTCCAGGAGTAAAACTGCTTGAAGCGAATCCAGATGTAAAGCGGTTATATGACGACCTCCTAAGTAATTATAATCGTCTGATACGACCAGTGACCAATGTCAGTGACATCTTGACTGTAAGACTTGGTTTAAAACTGTCACAACTGATGGAAGTCAACCTCAAGAACCAGGTCATGACAACGAACCTTTGGGTGGAACAAGTAAGTTTAATTTATATATCTTACTAGCTATGCTAGCGCGGTTTAGGTGGCTTCTATGATCATAGCATGATGTTTTAGGTAGGTTCTTGTGACTTTATTTATTTATTTTTTTTTAGTAGTGTTTTGGAGGTTTCTCCTTCTCGGGGTTGACCCGGTGAAAATGGGCACCGCGTTTTTTTATATTATTATTAATATTATATATTTATTTTTTTATTTATTTATTTTATTCCCAGCAATATCCTTACAGACTAATCCAAATCGATATTGAGGTTTATTATATCTAAATTACAAACTAGATTTTTAACTAACCTACTAAGCTAACCATAACAAATGCTAAGAACTACTTTAGTGAATTCACTCAGAGTGCAATAAAACATATCAACGTCTTTACCTATGACGTTGAGCGTGCGCAGTGCGCGATATATGGAGTTATTCGTCTGCTGATTTGCCCCCGATTGTACAAAAAGTATTTATTTTAAATCGATTTCACTTAGTTTAATGTTTCTCCTCTCTAACATAACAGAACATAAGCTCATTATAACACATTTAAAAAAAGGTTTTAAAGTAATAATTTCTAGTAAGTGGGATGCTTGTTCCTCAAAAGTTACTCGAGGTTTCAAGCGAAAGCTAGTCTATTTATAGGCAAAGTTACTCTTAACAATTTGGCTGAGTAGTGCTTAAATATGTATGATTTGTAACGTATAAATTTACAAAACCCGTCCCTACTACGTGGCTACGTGGTTACTTGGGTCACATGTAACACGTTATATTGGCATATTTTGGACACTGATAGACACTGGTGACTTGAGTGTCATATGCCGGAATACTGAAACGTTACTCAATTTTAAGCCGTGCTTAAATATCGTGCCATCTCTGTCATTTTACAAAGAAATTGTGTAGACAGAACTATACTTAAGCGCGACTTAAAATTGAGTAGCGTTTGAGTATTCCGACATTAGTTTTTAAAAGTTTGTTAATTAACGGTCGTTCGTGAAAGGTATCGAGAATGGCAGTGATAACAAACTATCAAAAAGTTGTCGTGATTCACGTTATACAAACCAAAATATGAGCGTAGTTTACAGAACAATTCGAATAAACAACGAATCTTGGTCTACTACTCGACAGCTCAGCTACCAGAAATTATTACCAACCACTTTTAGGGTATCGTTATTATTCGTTTGGTGTATTTCAAAAACCCACCAGTAGAGGGTTGGTTACTAGAGAAAGAAGTTTTGACTCATTTTATATCTTTCGGACTTCATTTCAGATAGAGTTAGTTAGAATGGTCCATCTGATAATCACCCACTGTCACATAAATAACAATGTCAATACGATTTGTTACAGAAATGGTACGACTACAAGCTGCAATGGAACCCTGAAGACTATGGAGGAGTAGAGATGTTGTATGTGCCTTCAGAACACATCTGGTTGCCAGATATCGTGCTTTACAACAATTGGGATGGAAATTATGAAGTGAGTAGGGAATTTTGTAGTGTATGATTGGTTGGATACTCTATTAAACCCAATACCAGTTAGTTCACTAGCTATCATCTACCGTTTCCTTCTTTTATACAGGCCTTATAAGAACATTGCATGTTGCATTTAGTACCTATTTGTACCTTTTGAGTACCTGGCAGAAATGTTTCCCACTTTGTCTACTTTTTTGGGAACTAACAGTGATACTTTTTGGTTTCTAGGTGACACTGATGACAAAGGCCACGTTAAAATACACTGGAGAGGTGAACTGGAAGCCACCAGCCATCTACAAGTCTTCATGTGAGATCAACGTGGAGTACTTCCCATTTGATGAGCAGACTTGCTTCATGAAGTTCGGATCGTGGACGTATAATGGAGCTCAGGTTAGTTAATTTATCATGGTGTACTTTACATATTGCAAAACCATGTTTATTTATTTATTTGAGTATAACGAGTATACGAAACTATTAGGAACAGCTTTCGACTTACCATTTACCAAGCCCACGGGAGAAGCCAACTTCAGAACCATTGTATCGATGATTATCAATTTGATTTGCCATAAACCGCGCGCTTGACAGGCGGCTTGGGAATCGCAATTAAGTTAGGTCATCATAATTGTATACAGTACGCTACCTCCTCTTTCAACGATTGGTCTCAATTTAAAGACAATAAAAGGCCTAAAGATTAACAAAAAGTTCTTCGTTTCTTCATGGTGTCGATTAATAAATCCATTCATCTTATCTTCCAGGTTGACTTAAAGCATATGGACCAGTCTCCAGGCAGCAGCTTGGTGCACGTTGGTATTGATTTGAGCGAGTTCTACCTCTCAGTGGAATGGGACATTTTGGAAGTACCGGCTACGAGGAATGAAGAATACTATCCTTGCTGTCCAGAGCCGTTTTCAGGTAACTTGTAACTCTTTGAAAGTTGAGTGAGGGCTTTGAGTATTTCTTCTCAAGTTATAAGTACCTACTGGTAATAAAAACAAGTTTGTAAAAGATTAGTTTGATATCAAAAACAACTCTCTATCATCTAGAACAACGTCTAGTAAACTCTGTGTATTTGGATGTCAAAAATAACTTTTATTATTTTAAGGAGAAATTGGGCAATAATCGCCAGTTATCTTATTAGTCTTCTGTTTGTAATAATAAGAAGCGAGATTACGGTCATGTTACTGAACAAAGTTTTACACTGCACATATACTTTACCAGCAAATACACAATGCGCGAACTTACTGTCACCACGAAAAGTAAGGCCTTGATTTGAGCAGCGTGGGATTAAGGGTGGAAGAGCCATGCTTCGGCACGAATGGGTTGGCTTGACCGGAGTGATACCACGGCCTCACTGAAAACTGACGTGAAGCAACGCTTGCGTTGTGTGAGTGAGGTTACCGAAGGCCAATTACCCTCCCCTTCCCCAATCTCCCCAATCCCTGAATCCCCAACGATCCTCGAACTCCTAATCCCCAAAAGGCCGGTAACGCACTTGTAATGCCTCTGGTGTTCCAGGTGTCCATGGGCGATGCCGATTGCGTACTATTAGGTGCTCCGTCTGCTCGTTTACCGGCTTATGCCATAAAAAAGGCGTTCTTACTTACTTAATTTCGAAAGAAAAGGGGATTTTTAACATTGATTAATATTCAGACCAGAAACGAAAGTACTTAATACACATAACATCCAACATATGCAAAATAACAATGCCGGTTTATGTCAAAAACAATCAAGCCTAAGGTTGTTTTTTTATGGGCTATAAACGAGCAGACGGATCACCTGATGGTAACCAATCGGCGCCGGCCATGGACACCTGAAACACTAAATGCATTAGAAGTGCGTTACCGGCCTGTTGGGAATTGCGAATTTGAGGATTGTGGGGGATACGGGATTTGGGGAGACCGGGGAAGGGGGTGATTATTGGAGCAGTCTATGTTCAGTAGAAGATATATACGAACCGACGATGATGATGATAATGTTTCATACATTGACCTATATTCTCTTCCAGATATAACATTTAAGCTGACAATGCGACGAAAGACATTGTTTTACACAGTGAACCTAATCATACCCTGCGTTGGTCTGACGTTCCTGACTGTACTCGTCTTCTATCTACCTTCAGACTCTGGTGAAAAGGTACGTCTCTTTATATTTCTACTACTTTTAGGGCCTGTATCATAGTGTCTGATTAAGTTTCTGTTTATTTATTCCACTGAGCCAAACAGCGACCCAAAGTGTATCTTTGGCTTCTGATACGAGAAATCGCCATTTCTTCCGCTCCTTGGCAAGAAACTTCTTGCCCCTCGAAATCTGTTTACCTGACACATGTTTTATATGGAAAATGAATCGAATTGTATCCATCTTAGTGTATAGAAACTTAATCATACATTGTTGAAATAGGCCTTTACTGTGTTTCATGTGTGTGGTAGATGTGACGACATTCTATTTAACAATCACGTTAGAGTTTTCTTTATAACATTTATCTTTTTTTTTGTCATAGTATTTATTTTTTAGCAAGTTTTAGTTGTGTATTAGTTAATTCTCTTTCTCTAATTAGTATGAGTTTATTATTCTCTTTGGATTTGTAAATAGAACAGATGTTTTCTTTTTTTTTCGTTTGTTTCTCCAATAGAAGTATGCATTTTTTATAAGTATATTAGGTACTCTGATATTTTGTTTTTAACATTACCTAACAAAAATATGTTATCAAGTATTTGGATATAACGTAAGCAATAAATATAATAATATACAGAAGACGTAGACACATCACTGATGCAAAATTTAATTTTGTTGATAATAAGCATCAATAAGAAGCGGTTTAAAATGTTACTTAATGTTACTTAAAAATTTGTCATAGAATGTCGTCACAATTTAGCTTTCTATGTCAATGTGAATGGGATGTTTCAGGGCATGTTCATAATAGCCTTCAATCCGCAATACCATCCTTCACTACCCTCATCCATTGGTAATGGTCTTTTTTGAATCATTAGCTAGACGTGTGCGTGTATTAGACTCATCTCAATATTGTGTTTGTTAGCTATTGTCTTTCCACACTCCAATTCCACATTCTTCTCAGTATGAACTTTAACGGTTCATTCCTAAAAATGATCCAAGCGTTTTTCTCGATTTACTTTTCTGACATTATTGTCGTTCTCGGTATTAATTTCAGTTATTTTCTGATCAGTAACGAGGTTTATTTCTAAAACAAATATCCGATGTCTTTGGTTTAAAATAAATGGATTTGAAAATACTTGGGTTTTATTTTTTAGAAAATTAGTATTTGTAAAAATAAGTAGGTACCCCTTGAGTAAAGGGCAAATCTAATCTAGGTTTTTTAAATTATCTGAAGACATTTTTATCATGAATGAATTTAGCTATTGTGAAACTCCTATCGAAGAAAGGGTTTAATTTTACCTCTATTCCAAAATTTTTCAAAATTCCTCCACGATCCCAATGAAATTCTAAATTTTGTTTAAAATGTTCATCTCATTGCATGATCCCGAATAATTCACTCATTGGTTGTGCAACACATAATATAAATTGTACCTTTTCTTCGTAAATATAGTGGAAAGACAATTTGTAATTATAAAACTGTAATGTGATAGCTATAGAATGGATTTTCGTGCACTGATTTGACAACAGGTGGAATTAATTTCTGGTCAAAATTTGCTGACTGCCCCACAAAACGAAAAGTGATGAAGGTAAGTACTTGCGATCGAACTGTATCCGTTTCATTTCAGACGAAGAATTTGACTTGAAAATTTTACCACAAGAAGATTGTCTCTAACATATTGTACATACAATTTACTTGGCAGATCAATCATCACACTGGTTCATCGTCACAATATATGTACGCTACACATTTGCACAATGTACATTACAACACATGCTAATCACAAAGTTTCTCAAGTCAATCTTCGTTTATAGACTCACATGCAGATGGATCGCCATACCATCACCAACGCCAGTGGGGTATCAAAGAACGTTTTGATCATAAGCTAATTCCATATTTAGTGTGCCAAAAACCAAAGAATTTGAATGAAATAACTCAAAAGAGACTTCTCTTCCTTAGATATCGCTCTGCATCTCCATCCTGGTGTCCCTCACTGTGTTCTTCCTTGGTCTGGCTGAGATCATTCCGCCAACATCCCTGGCAATCCCCTTGCTTGGGAAATATCTACTATTCACGATGATACTCGTCTCGCTCAGCGTTTGGGTGACTGTTTGCATACTTAACGTGCATTTCAGGTAAATATTATTTTTTTCTTTTCTCGTAGATATCGTTAAGCATCTCGATTTTGGTGTCGCTGACTGTATTCTTCCTGTTGCTGGCTGAAATAATCCCGCCCACGTCGCTCGCTATACCTTTATTAGGGAAGTATTTGCTGTTCACCATGATACTGGTGTCTCTGAGTGTCTGGATGACTGTTTGTGTTCTCAACGTTCATTTTAGGTGAGTAAAGAAAGTTAGTTAGCTTCCTTTCTCACGTTTCCACTTCCTTGTCTCTTTCTCTGGCTATACTGTCGCTTCGTAGTGGTTTATTATCTAAATCTCGCCCAGATAATAAACGTTATAATAAAAATTAGTGGCAGTGCATAAAACCTTTTGAAAAAGTAATCGAAACTACAATTTTACCTGCAGCTTTTAATTGTTGTTCGATTATGTGAAGCTTGCTTAAATAAAAAAGTACTTCAATGATTTTCTGTATTGACGGAAAATTTTACATATCTCGCAAAATGCAAGCTTTTATACTAATTCGCCCTACCCTGTCTAAGCTTCCTCCAGCAAAATGATGCTTGTGTAGTAGTTACCGAAACACAGAATATTCTAGATGTCTAGCCAGCACAGTTGACGACCAGCCTATAAATGTCCCACTGCAGGGCAAAGGCCAGAGACCTTACAATACAATATGTTCAGCCAAGAAGCAATAATGGAAGACTATTAATCAGTTTAGTTAAATAACATTTTCCTACATTAATACCGTGCCAGCGATTTCCAAATTAATACACACAGACTAATGTTTGTATCATGTTTTTCCAATTTAAAAAGCAAATCTTTTAGATTACAGCGTACACTTTTACTAAGCTTGTATTCTTTTAGATTTTTGGTAAGTCGTTACAAAAATACATAGTTTTTAAATTTGTTCAATCTGTGAGTTTTGTGAAGGAGGTACCTAATTATGTGAAACATGATAAGCTACACCCAATGCCTCCTCTCAAAAAGGCCGGTAAATAACTATTAAGGGCGAGGCCGCATACCAAGGCCCTGCGTCGCGTTGTCGCATTGTTGCAACGGAACAACGCATTGTATACCACACCAGGGTTGCGACGATGCACGACATCGCAACGCATGCACACCGTCGAAGCTGCGCCGCACTTCATCCTTCGCAATGGGTATTTACCCCTAGAAATGAATGATTCGGATTCTTTGTAGAATATACAACTTATGTTTCAGAATCTGGGTTTGATGTGTATGTTAAAGGATAAACACGCCCCTGACACATGATGATGAGAATTCACCTCTGTCCTCGTTATTGTGTCAGTTTTTTTTAAGTTTGCGACATTTCTACAACTACATTGATATAATCGTCTGTTTGTTGACGATCTTCGTTTATTCCATTCTCTCTAAATGAAGACCCTAAAAGCAAGAATAGTGTATAACTAGTTGATACTTCACCTAGTTAAGCTGTTATGCCTTATTTAGCAGAACACCTAGATACCATGCTAAAATCGAAATAAAATACATATAAAATATTTAAAACTTTAAAGTATTTCACAAAAATATTATAATATATACCAAAATAAATAGGTAGCGAAATAAAGGAGACGCATAAATCTGAACGGTCATTGTAATATTGCCACACACACCGCTATCGCGGAACAATAGTGTGAAATATGGTATGGTTTGGTACACTTTAGATTGCAGAATGCTCTCTATTCAATGCAGGAAGGACGTAATGAGAAGTAGGGTGTTTAGATACTAAAGTGTAATACATTTTATAAATAGTATGCAGGTAAGAAAATAATGTATGCGTAAGTACATAATGCAAGAATAGTGTATAACTTATTCTTTTTTGTTGATTGGTTGGTTTATAGGAGCTTGCCAATAATTTTTTTTAAAGGGGGGAAAATCATCGAATTACTTCTCCTGTGCCTGATTGAGGCGGGAGGGAGTGTCAGACTCTTATTGACTAAAAACCACCCCGTTCATACTCCTGCACTATGAGCCGGAGCCCCGGTAACCCGTTAGGTTCTCCGCGGCTCCGTAAGTAGGCCAATCATAGAGCCGTGACGTTTCAATCTCGTTAAACGTAAAAAATCGTAAAAGACAATTAGTAAAGAGGTAGTAAATATTGTTATTTTATGTTTTTCAACGTTGTCACACCTTGACCATTGGTCAGCTTAATAACTAATCAACCAATGGTTACTGTTTGAACTGTTTCTGTATTGACGTATCGCCAATATAATCGACTGCCTCGTTGACCGAGTGGTCGCAAGTGCGACTGCCGGGCAAGGGATCTCGGGTTCAATTCCCGGATCGGGCAAAGTATTACTGGGTTTAAAAAAATAATAAGTCTGGAATTGTGCCCTATATGGCAATAGGCTCACCCCCTATTACATGGGACTCATAACATAAAACAGTGAAAAGTGGGTGTTACATGGTACAGTGGTATTAAGTGCCGTAATGTGCACCTCTGCCAAACTCTTCGGGGATAAAAGGCGTGATGTTATGTTATGTTGTTATGTTATATCGACAATTATAATTTTCGATTTCATGTCCTAGATATTTTGTCAGTGTTCCAGAAATGTATCACAATTGTCGTACAAACATACTCTGATTCAGCAACACGGGCATCGAATGTGAGTGGAACACTTGCATGATAGTTACAATAAAAATTAATCGACTGCGTACTTGTAATCGCGTAGTACGCAAATAGTGAACCTCTGTGTATAGCGTAGTGATGTGCCGGCTATGGCCGTTTATTTGAATGCAATGTTATTCGACGAAACGCGGGTCGACTATTTAAAATTGCCACAAGTGTGTGTAGTTGTGTTTTGTGAAGGAAATTTGATGGGATCATGGTTCTTTCAGTATGATTGGTGACGGTTATAGTTTATTACTTTAAGTAACTATGTAATTGTTTTCTACCTTGTTGGTTCCGTTGTCAGAAGGGTGTAAGTATTGAAAACGAAGTTTCTGATTCGAAAGTTTTGTAATACCATTGAATTGTTTCTGATATATAAAAAAAATGAAATGCACTTTAAATATTTTAGTTAGCAAACAGTGCATTTCTCTAGGTTAGATTTTTGGGTCTATATTTTACTACAAAATTATTTAGAAGCATATGGTATACATATTATTATATTATATAGCATTTACGTATAACTGCCTCGTTAGCTGACTGATCGCAAGTGCGATTGCTGGGCAAGGGTTTCTGGGTTCGATTCCCGGGTAGGGCAAAGAATCACTGGGTTATTAAAAAATTCTCAGTTGTAGAACGTAGTCTGGAATTGTGCCCGGTTTATGGCAATAGGCTCACCCCCTATTACATGGGACTCATAACATAAATAGCGAAAAGTAGGTGTTACATTGTACAGTAGCATTATGCGCCATAATGTGCAAACCCCTTCGGGGATAAAAGGCGTGATGTTATGTATAAAACTTGATTTTTTATACAATAGGGCGTTCAAAAACTTACATTTCCACACACAACGTTCAACAAATTTGTTCCATATAGAAACGAATAGTTATTCGGAAAGCACATCCCTATACGCAATTTGGAATAAATCTTTCGTTTCCATTGTTATTTTGTCATTACAGTAATAGAACATTGTGTGTGTGATATATGGCGTACGATAGCACGATAAGCTATTACCGCTTTGAATAATTTGCGTCGCTGTGTAAAATAAAGCGCAATTTTGTGCGGTAATTAACGTGACAATTTCAGTTGAATCTTGCAGCGCTTTAAGCGACTTATTGTTCAATGTGATGATGTGTGTATGTGTTGGTAATTAGTACAGGTATATTATAAGGTACAATGGGGACTTTACACGTGTTCCATATATTCGTAAAGGGTGAGTTTGTCAGCAGATGTTGTGGAAGATAAAATCAATTGTTTTTCTCCTGCATGGGAGGCTCGCTAAATACTTACCCTTGTTTTTTATAGAGCAAAAGCCAAAGTGAAGGCAAAGACTTTCACTTTAAAAAGCCGAATACAAAGCACCCGTCAATGAAACATTAAAGTAGTAAAATTATTAATATAGTAGGCACTCTATAGTTTCTAAACCCCTTAAAATTGTTAAGCATAATGTATGAAAAAGATCACTGACAATGATTTTAAAACCGACAATAAAAATAAAGCATGCATGAGAAATAGCGAGCTGCGTATAGAACATCCACAAGACCATACCTATAGCGTGCCCCTTATCCGAAAATTAAAAAGAGAATGTTATATCCAAAGTTCAATTTTAATTTACTAAAAGGTCTCCATCAACACATACGATGTCTCCGTGGATGAAGAAGCTGTTCTTGCAGTTGATGCCGAAACTCCTTATGATGAGGAGAACCAAGTACTCTTTACCGGATTATGACGATACCTTCGTGTCTAACGGCTATACCAATGAGTTGGAGATGAGGTAAGAATTTATTGCTTGCTAGCTTACTAATACGAAGACTGCTACGTTGGCTGAGTGGCCACCAGTCTCAGGTTCGATTCCCGGGTCGGTAAAATGTTGCTGGGGTTTGGAATTTTTTCGTATTTCTCAGCATTGCTCAGGACTGCCTCGTTGGCCGAGTGGTCGTAAGTGCGACTGCCGGGCAAGGGGTCTCGGGTTCGATTCCCGGGCGGGCAAAGTATTACTGGGTTTTTAAATATTCTCAGTAGTAGCACGGAGTCTGGAATTGTGCCCGGTATATAGCAATAGGCTCACCCCCTATTACATGGGACTCATAACATAAATAGTGAAAAGTGGGTGTTACATTGTACAGTGGTATAATGTGCTCCTCTGTCTACCCCTTCGGGGATAAAAGGCGTGATGTTATGTTCTCAGCATTGCATGGGATTCATAAAATAATTATGTAATTGGTGAAAATTAGGTATTACTTTATAGGTATATGTGCACAACAGATCTACCTACATACCAATTCGGGGATTACCAGTCAGTAGTGATAAACTACTCCATAATGGGCGATTATTACTTTGAAACATTAATTTTCCTTTTCATTAATTCCCATCCTCTGAACTTGGAGAACGAAATATTTCATTAATTTGTTTCTGTGTTAATCTGTAATATTTATTTTTGTATCCGATGCTCGTTTTTCTGTTTCCTTCCCCATGTCTGTGGCAAAAATGATTTCCGTTTTCCTATAACTGAACCTTTCATGGGATTTCTTTATAACGTTCACCATGGGTTTTTTTAATCTACGTAGTATATCATTTTAGATAATTTGAGTATTGGAAATTATACATTTATTCAGTTTTAACTCGTCGAGTACCGGTTTTATAGACACAATTAAAGAACAATAGGTCGCGGTCACCGGTGACCGCTTGGTGTTTGACAGTTTAAGCTTCAAGTGCATTCAGTTGAAAGTTTCTAACTAGGTATTTACATATTATGTTAAGTTATGGAAAGTGGATCAAATATTATAACATGTTTATTTCTACAATATTTCAGAAAAAAGCACGATGGTGTTATCTCTATCATCAACATCACACTTTTTACTTCTCATGTCAAAAGCACAATTTTTACTCCCTTGTATTTTCAGCAGGGACAGCTTAACGGATGCCTTTGGTGATTCCAAAGATAATGGTGATTATCGTAAATCACCAGCTCCAGAAGATGATATGCTGTCTGCTGGAGGTGCTCATCAAAGACCTTCAGGTAAGGTCTGCCTTAAGATCATAGCGCACTTAACCGGCACGGCTCCAATCCAGCAATGAACTTGCCATTTAAATTTGAACATTACATCTTACGCTATATGACATAAATATTTCATGAAGAAGTTGTAAGCGCGCCGCTCGCGTGCCGACAGCGTGCTTACAACCTTTATGTATTGTTTCCAAATGAAAATGCCTAATCCCTGTCGGGCCAACGATTATAGACCCATTTCTATCCTTCCTTATCAATCTAAGATCCCTGAAGCAGTTGTCCATATACAAATCTCCTCATATATTTTAAAACACAAATTACTGTCTTCCTTCCAATCTGGTTTCCGACCCGGCCATAGCACTTCTACTGCCTTGCTCAAAGTCACTGAGGATGTGAGGTCTGGTATGGAGGATTCGAGGTTAACTGTGTTGATCTTAATCGACTTCTCCAACGCTTTTAATGCAGTTGACCACGATATTCTCTTGGCCATATTAACTCAGTCTGGGGTCTCGTCGTCGTCGCGGGAGAGGTTCTCAGCATATCTTCGTGGTCGCCAGCAGTCTGTTCGCGTTGGTCAGGAACTCTCTGACTGGGGCGGACTGACGGCTGGTGTACCGTAGGGTGGTATACTCTCTCCTCTGTTGTTTTCTTTATTTATAAATTCTATTACTAGTCTTCTCACATGCTCTTCATCTGTATGCCGATGACTTGCAACTATATGCTCAAGCTAGCATTGCGGATATGGGGAGTTGTGTCCAACAACTCAACGCCAACTTACTCATTGTGGAAGATTGGTCTAAAAAGTATGGTGTCACAGTAAATGTTGGTAAGTGTCAGGCCATAGTGTTAGGTAGTTCCTACTATTTGAATTGTTTAAATACTGTTCACCTTGAGCCAATTATATTCGATAAAGTGACCATACCGTTGTCTCCTCATGTAAAGGACTTGGGATTGTACCTGGATGGAGGGCTCAGTTGGAACCATCATGTCACTCAGGTAAGTAAAAGAGTCACTGACACGCTGCGATCTCTCTACAGATTTAAAAACTTTCTTCCACCAAATACAAAAGCGCTGCTTGTCCGGTCCCTTGTGCTTCCTGTGATTAATTATGCTGATGTTTGTTACTCGGACCTATCCCAAGACCTTCTTAACAAATTGGATCGAAGGCTCAACAATACGACCGCTCGACTTTGTAAATAAGACCATGTCTCTTCCTTTCGCGCTCAGCTTAAATGGCTTCCTATCCGTGAGAGGCAATCCCTTAGATCCCTCTGCATGCTCTTCTCTGTTATAATGGTCCTTGTACTCCCAAATACCCAAAGTCTGGCTTTCAGATTTTGGGCAGCTCTCACAGCCGAAATCTCCGTTCAGCTAAAAGTTTGCTTTCGTCTTTTCTATATCCTACAGAGTTAGTGTAATTAAATTATGGAATGCACTACCCCGTAGTGTAAAAATGGCTCCAAACAAAATGGCTTTTTAACGTAGTGTTCGTGAGGCCTATTTAAAGGCGCTACAACGCCGAGTTCGTGTCTTCGTCAAATTATATTATATTATAATTATATATATGAAGTTATTTATGTACATATTTTGTGTTTGTTATATATTTTTATACAGTATTTATTATCACTATTAGTTATTTATTTTGTTTTTTTTTACATATTACACAAGCCCATTTCCGCGACCTTACATTTAACCCAAAGGTTGAGTGGGAGAAAAGGCCATATGGCATTAAGTCCGCCTTATGTACTTTATTTTGTGTGCATTAAAGTGTTAATAAATAAATAAATAAAAAAAAACGCCGTGCCGGAGACGCGTCGGAGCCGTGCTTGTTAAGTGTGTCATAACTTTTATTGATGTTTTTTTTCCTGTTAAAGTTAGATTTTTTTTCTTATTCTATGTTCAAACTATTTCTACAAATACATTTTTGTGCGCCATAGTGCATGTCGATAACACAATTAAAACTACTTAATCCTGATCTTTCTTCCCTATAGTGACTGAATCAGAGAACATGTTGCCGCGTCACCTCTCGCCTGAAGTGGCTGCTGCATTGAAGAGTGTCAGGTTCATAGCACAACACATCAAGGATGCTGATAAAGATAATGAGGTAAGCAGACACTCTTTTTATTTCTCATTTATTTATTTATGTACACACATTCAACACAGAGGACAATACATATATAAAAACAGAGTACATAGGCCCCACATATTCCAACTGGAATTTCTTCCTGTGGGCCTGTGGCAGGAAAAGAAATAACAACACCGAGACACATAGAGTGTTACACAAACAAGATAAAAATCAATTAATAAAAAAAAGTAATAGGTAATACCGAAGAAACCAATAGAAATAACAATAATAAACAATAAAACAAATTTATCTTACTACACTTGAATGAGGTCCTTGAAACAAATACCGAATATGTATAATTAATTTACCGAAAATGTTTAATTATGTAATCCATAGATTACCTTAATGTACACTTTAACAATAAATACGTATAGGACATTTAATCATGTTGTTCTTCCAATGCTAAAACTCAAGCTCAAAAACATTTATATCAATTAAACCATAATTTGAAACTTTTTAAACGTCAATAAGTATAAAAAAAATAAGTCTGTCCGTCATTGAAGGTAGGTGCACGTTCCAGAAAGTAGATTCAAGTGGAGAGCTAAAGTAAATTTTCATTTCTGTGATACCTATATTTTTATAATATATCCCGTTGCGTTGAGCAAAATCTTCTTCAATTTACGTAGAAAGAAATCATAGTATTCTACAGAAACAAAAAAAGGGCTTAAAAATTTATAAAAAAAAACCTTTGAAGTAAAAAATAATATCGAAAGGACAAAAAATGTTTGCTCATTCTGAAATTAAATATTCATGTACCGGTGACTAAGTCATAACGGTTTGTGGAACAGGAAGAATTACGACTGCGAGGAGGTTCAATTCTATGGAAAGACAACATTTTTCCTTGAAAGAATTTACCATAATTCCGTAATATAAGGCATTTAATTTGTAGTACATATCTAACATAACATAACATAAAATCACGCCTTTTATCCCCGAAGGGGTAGGCAGAGGTGCACACAGAAGTAACCCACTTTTCAATATTTATGTTATGAGTCCCATGTAATACGGGGTGAGCCTATTGCCATATACCGGGCACATTTCCAGACTCCGTGCTACTACTGAGTTTTTTTTGAACACCCAGTCATACTTTGCCCGACCCGGGAATCGAACCCGAGACCCCTTGCCCGGTAGTCGCACTTGCGACCACTCGGCCAACGAGGTAGTCGTAATAGTAGTACATATCTATTCGAGATATAAACAGCGTCATGGTAAAAACTGTGGCATTGAACATATTCTCTATGTATTTTACTTGTCTATCTATTTTTGTTGTTATCAAGTCAGATTGAATCCATATTTTCATCAGTTTCATGTACCTTATCGGACAAAAGAAGTTCAATATTATATTCCCAACTTCCTTCATAAATTCACAGAGAAAATATCCATTACCACACGTTAAATTTTTCATCTACAAACTTCCGTTGTGTTATAAAACAGAATTACCCGCAAATTCGCAGTTCATTGCAATCTCGCGTGCCCCGTACACTATCGTGCACCGAAAATCGTAAACCCGGTACAAAAATACGAAGCTGTAATAAAAGAAGGAATTGAGAAATGTATGTTTGTTCACTGAATTGTAGTCCTCGCAAATGGTGAATGTACCGTACGTGTAGCCCAGTTATTAGATAGCGTGCAGTCTGCAAGTGATTCTCTCGCTACGATTTATTTATTTGCACTCCAGCTGTATTAGTTTGCAGACAAATAGCTTTAGATGATTTTGGTACTTTATTTAGTTAGACACGAAAGATGTTTACACATTGGTATTAGTTCAGAAGATTAGTAGGCAATAGTTATCTTTTGGAAACATAGTATTATTTAATATTACAACGCAATAAAAACTTAAATAATATTAAAATTAACTATTACTAAATGAATAATAAAATATATACAACTTAAGATTAAAATTATATAAAAGAAAAACAAAAACAACTATTTACATAAAGCATCGAAAAATTCGTCCGCATCGACGTCAGTGGGGAAAGTACCCAGAAGGCTGGCAGCATTGCCACGTTGTATGGCAATGCTTAACCTCTGACCGAGAAAAAGACCAGCCCTCTGGTCACGAGAGGTGTCAAACAGGCGTTTTGAAATGTTTTTGAATAATTTAAGTGCACTCGACCCCACGGACCTAGCGTCTTTGGAAACATTAATGTTTTATATTTGACACAACAAACAGTTTAGGTGCACTGATTTAGTATTTTATTATTGTGTAATTTACTTAATTATTTAAAATTACTTACTTTAGGGCCGTGGGGCCCAAGTGCACATCTTCTTTACAAAGAAATTGTAAGGAGAATGGTTGACACTTCAGATGATCGAAGTGCTGGCTACTACCTTGGGCAAAGGTTAAGCATTGCCATTCAACGTGGCAATGCTGCCAGTCTTTTGGGAACCCTACCTCACGATAGCGATGTAGAATTTATTTTTGATGCCTTAAGCCTAAGGTGATATTTTTTTAAGATGTAAATATTTTAGTTATTAGTTACCTATTTGTATTTTAAGTTGTACATATTTATTCATACTTAAGTTATTTAAGTTTATTTTTATGTTGAAATAAATATAAAATTGTCAATTTTTTAAATATTTATTTCATTGCCAATTAAGATGAAATATTGATATTTGATTAAAAGTAAAGTTCAAATTATTTAAATCTTTTCATCCTTAACAATTTCAATTACTTTGTTCCTGAACTCATATTAAAAGTACCAGGATAGCATAAAATCAAGCGAGTCGGAGCCACACACAATGACGGGACAATCAGTCAAAAAATCGTCCAATTTTCATACCTCCTTCCAGTTGATCGATTTCATTGGTTCCTTGCTTCGCTTTGCTGGCTTCGTGAACGTATTAAGCTCAATTGACAAAACGTCTCTGATCGTTAATTCCAATTTAAATATTCAATAGGTTTCGGTAAGTATTAGAATGTCGTCGTTCGTTTGTTGAACATTCCTTAATTCGATGTGAGATAATTATATGTGTCTGTTTGCGAGAGCTGTTTAGAGCAGATATCTCTTCATTGAAATGCTAGCTAAATAGGTTAATATAAGTATAAATATTTAATTTTCACGTAGTTATTTTCTTATACCTAGACTTAATTCCAATTGAAACAGACTTTAAGTTGTTGAATTATTTAATAATTCCATTAAAATTCTACAAAATACATATCATAAACATTACATATTGCTTTCAAAATTGACCCATACTTATTAAAAAAAAACGGTGCTCCACTCTTCGGTTTTCTCCTGTATTGTGGGTGCGTTTAGAAATATACAAGTTCACATACACATGATATCCAGACCCGAAACAATAATTTGTAGATCACACAAAGAGTTGCTCCGTGCAGAAATCGACCCCGCGACATGTAGCGCGGCACCCAGTTTTCCAGTTACCGTGCCAACCACGACAATAATATCAATCTATCGACTACAAATAAGAACGATCAATTAATTTCCATACTATGACAGTTGAAAACCTTTACGTTACTGATAATATAATCTCCAAAGCTTTACAATTTGCGAAATGGTTTCACAAACAAATAGATGACTTAATAATAGCAATTAATTTCCCGCCACTATACGACATATTTGCCGCGCTAATATTGCAGATCCTTTCGAGTGAATGTGAATGAACGGTCTCTAGGGATCCGGAATGATTCACGAATTAATATTACCTGTGGCTTGGTAACAAAGATGAGATAAGAAAATATGTAAATAAAGGAATTAAAAAACAATTAGCTACACTCCTCATACTTGGCAGGTAGGTTGGAGATCGCGGTATAAAAAAATCAGATTTATCAGAAAGTGCAACAATCTTGGGGCTTACTCTTGAAATCAGTTTCAATGTCAATGCAATTTTAATCCAATAAAATCTCAATAATTATTCAATGTCACCACTATACAACCACAATCGTAGCTGTTAAAATAGCATTCAGAGTACGGAATATAAAGCTAAACTCAATACCATTTAGTTAATTCAATATCCGCGCAATACGGATGCAATGGGCGCTGGTGTTGCAACTCAAGAGTAGGAAATTTCACAATATTAATGTCCATCGATCGGAATTGGATTCAAGAGTAAGCCTCCTGGTCTCTGTGAAGCCTGTAGACCGTCAGTAGTCGTGAGCCATGAGTAGAGTATGGGTCAACGTCATCAACAGCCTATAAATGGCCTCTGCTGACCAAAGGCCTCCTTTCACAAGAAGAAGGTTTGAGCATTAATCACCTCGCTTGCTCAGTGAGGCTTGGCGATTTCAAACTTCAGGTTTCCTCACGATGTTTTCCTTCACCGTTTGTCGGTGGTGTCTAGATATCTTACAAAGTACATATAACTCGAAAAAATCACGTAGGTACTTGCCGTTGGTAGCTTTCGAACCTGCACCCTAGGGGTAGACGATGATAAATGTACCTCACTAAGTTGTCGACACATAGCTAAGGACACGATGCTATTACATTTCCCATAAAAGTATTTACTTAAATACGAGTTCACGTTGTATTTCTGAGACAAAGTTACACCAGCGTGTCCCCTGTGGCATTAATTTTCTTCTAATGGGGACAAAAAGTGTAAGATAATGTTCAGTTTCTTATACAGGTGGACGAAGTTGGGATTGTGACGTCATTACTACAACCTGTATATTTATGAAGGCTGGCTGGAAATAGGAGTTAGTGCCAATGGCAAGAACAAGTATTTCTACATATAGGTACTACGGCCATTTAAAAAAGTAAGGAAGGGAATTGGGCATCCGGTAACTTTACTTACACTGCGGCACACACGCAAATATTATTCTATGCCGATTTTATGTAAAGCCGAGTTCAGTCCGATCAAGTCGGCCTATTCGTGCTAAAGCATAACTCTCTCACACTTATTAGTTTAATCGTAATTAATAAAAACACTTCACAAGTCCAGCAACTAGATTAATAAAGTTAATGGCATTTGGTAGCTTTTACCTCGGACCTCGAATCACTCCTCTGGGAACATAATAAGTG